TATTGTGTTGAAAGCAGAAATGGTTAAGTTGTGGTTCGGAGGAATATATGGGGGAAATTATTTGGTTTATTATTATTGGTAAATATAATTAATTGATTTGTAAGAAATTGGATTGCATGGAAATAATTGGAATATTCGTATTCATATTGATTAATATACAAAAAATAGTTATATAACTAATTGATTTATATTAAAATGTTGAATTTGTATTAAACAACTGTAATATTACATAATTAACCAATGTGAGGATGGATATAAAAAATAGATGACAATGGGAAGGGGTATAATATAGAATAGAAGGGAAAAATTGAATTTGATTAAGATTAGAGATGAGGATGAAGGGTAATATTGGTTTTTTTTAAAAAAAATAGATGAGGAATAAATATGGCAAAAAGGAAATATGGAAATTGTAAATTTAATTGAAATGACTAAACACTGTTTAAATTTATGAACCGGCCAAATACTCTGTTCAAAGAAAATACATTGTATGTTTGTATGTGTGTTTCTAATTATTGCTATTTATTCATATATGTTCTCTTTTATTCTTTAAAGTTTAACAATTCATTCTTTATCTTTATATCTTTATATTTGTTTGGGGTTGCCTTTCTTCCATTTCATCTTTTTTATTGTACAGCAATCTTTCTCCTCAAATCTACCACCTCTCTCTTTTCTTTCCATCTTACTTTCTCTTCCCCACCTCTTCTTCTCCTCCCTACTTCCTCTTCCTTTCTCCTTCTCCTCCTCTCTTCCTCCCTCTCTTACCCTCACTCCTACTCTAATTTCCCTTCCCTTCCTTCCTCCCTTCTCTTCCTTCCCTCTCTCTCCTTCCTTCATCCCTCTCTATTGCTGTATTCATTTTCAATTTTATATTTTCCACTATGGAGTCCAGGCAACCCTGGTCTGTCTTTCATTTATCAAGTATATTTCTCAAAATTTCCCCTCATCTTTTTAATTATTAGCAGTATATTTCATCTTATTCCATTTTTTTCTATTGAACCCAGTATAATCATCTTTATCTTTTTTTTTTCAATTATTTCCTTTTCAATATTATCTCCTTGTTTCTCTTGCTTCTCATTCATCTTTTCTCTTTCTTTTCTTTTTTGCAAGCTAACCAATTCTCTGCTTCTTTATTTCCCTTAAATGCCTCTCTTACTTTTTGAAACATCTCCCTTAGTGTCTCATATTCATCCTCCCAATTCTCCATATTTTCAATTTTAAAAGGCTAGGATTTTTAAGCTTATTCTTTTCATTTACATATGTGGGGGGGGATGCTTTTCAAGGAGCCACAAGGGAGGCTGAGGGCAGAGTCATTCTGACAGTAACTTTTAAAATTGCTTGGAAGACCCATTTTTTCCCTAACAATAATGGTTTGTATACTTTGAAATAAAACATATACCTGGAAAAAGTACTTGCAAAACTTGGACAGAAGGAAAAGAAAGGCAGGAGTGGACATTATCAGTAGCTAGTTAGTTCATTGTTATCAATGACTCCCACTGATTCTAAACTCATTTTAAGACTGGGATTGATGTCTACTGAAATTTAAGTATTCAACATTGGTCTCAGAAATCTTTGATTTGAACTATCAAATCTTTGATTTGAACTATCAAATCTCTGATTTGAACTATCAAATCTCTGATTTGAACTTTGATTTGAACAATGGCAAGAAAAATCGTAAAATGGGGCAAAACTCACTTAACCATAATAATTTCTAGATATTTTAAGTGTAGAGAATTCAAGTGTTGAGAATGACCCACTATTTCATCTCTTTTTCTGCACTAGGTACCACTATTTGATTTCTTTTCATTTTATTCAAATAACAACAGAAAACCCAATACAGTTCAGTATGTATTGGCTTTCCAGTCCTTCCTTGATGCACTTTTTCACATTGGTTATCTAGTTTAAATGCCAAAAAAAAATCAATGATATATTTTTCAGACCTTTGGAGGATCACACTGTCAATTGTTCGCGCTGCACAAGCAAAACTAACAGGTGTGAATTAAGTTTTAGCTAAAAAATGGAGCTTTAATTCCAGAAGTCCATTCTTTAAACTTGGACTTCTGGAATTAAAAGGCTCTGGATTAAATGGTACTCCAGACAAAAGATAGAGAAGAGTATCTTGCTTTTAGACATGATAATAGCTGTCTAGAAAGGTGAGTTATGAGCTATTTTTACATCATCAGAAATTTAATTTATTACCTGTTAAAAATGCAAAGACAAGGAGTACAAGGAGCAAATAAAAGACCTTCATGTTGGAGTTGGTTCTGGACCAAATCTTACTTGTGGGACAGAAACCAGCTCTCAGCCCTCCTTGTGACTTCTTGAAAAGCATCCCCCCCCCAAGCTCCACCACCTGAGGAGGCAGGGGAGGGCTGCAGGTTGATCCCAAGGGGGTCTGGGAATGGGTGTGAATTCATCCCACAGCCCTCTCCATCCCCTCCTCTGTGAAATTGCTTTCTCCCATTCGCTGGTGATCAGCAAATTCAAAAGGAACCCCCAGCTGAGAATCACTGCTCTAGATTGGTTGATTCAGGGGATTTCTTTAGTGTTAACTAATAGTGTTAGCTATTTTTGTTACAGGGATAGATTTGTATTGGAGCAGCCTGCAGGCCTCCCAAAGGCTCTGCGCAACCTGTTTTAGGACATGTGGGGCAAGGCTTCAGGAGGCCAAAAATGGCTGTATTCCGTGTATTTTACTGTTACTATCTTCCTTAGTGGGTCATGCAAACCGCTATTCTGAACAATGCTATTTATAGGGAGTGGGGGTGGGGGCAGTGGTGGGTTGCCCCGGTTCTCACCGGTTCTATAGAACTGGTACTAAAACTGGCAGGAGGCCCTGCCCACTGACCCCGACATCACCAAAACGCTTCTGCGCATGTGCAGAAGAGCGTGTGCATGCGCGAGCGAAGTGAGCACGCGTGCGGGGCCCCATTGCAAACCGATAGTAAACGTAAGTAGAACCTACCCCTGGGTGGGGGGCACTGAGGATGAGTTTGTAGTACCAAGGGGGTGGTGGGCTGAAAAAGTTTGGGAACCACTGCTCTAATCCAAAATGAACATGTATCAATTATAAGAGGGAAGCTGAAAAGTAGGTTTTCCTTTTTTTTTTCTTGAACTGTAAATTGATTATATCTGATTTTTGCTAGGAAATGGCTATTGTCTAACTAGTTGGTCAGGCAATATATAAACTATCAATACATGTTTATCAAAAGCTATTATATTGCTTTAAGACTGTATTGAATCATCCTGTATCCTGATTGGCTAAGCTCTGTAGCCAATGTACTTAAGGGGAAGCCTGAATCATGGCTTGAAAACACTACACCATTTTATCTGCTTATTTGCTGTTTACTCTCTACTTGTTCTCTCTGTATGATCACTGTTTGATCATTGCTACTTCATCACAGCTTCCCCACAATCACATGATCATAATTCTAGTGCTTAGCAATCAGATCACAATTATGAAAGTAGCAGTGTCCCAAAGTCACATGATCAACATTTGCAATCTTCAGTGTCAATTTCTGACAAGCAAAGTCAAAGGGAAAGTTGGCAGGAGATTCACAAATGGTGATCATATGACTACAGGACACTTGACTGTCTGAGATTTGCCTAATGATGGAAACTGGAACTGCAACAATTGCTGTTGTAAGTTGGGGTCGCCCTGGTGTCAGGGTAAATAATGAAGTTGCACTATAGATTTTTCACAGCTAATTGATGTCCATAAACATGTTATGCTGGCTCCTGAGTGTCAGTCCTGTATAGTGGTCATTGCATTTTATTTTGTGGATAATTCCTATTTTGTCTTATTTTGATATTGGATCTTTGGGTTTGTTTAGGATGCTTTGTGGGGACTTCGTTGGTTCATATTCCAGATGGTTGGAACAACGTGAGTTTCCAAGTTGGGTTTTTTTTCTGGGTTGCAATATTTGTGTTGTTGTGGTAAGGGTGACTTGTACTTTTGCTGAACTTGCACTAATATCCATTGTGTTGAAACATGTTGTGTTGTAATTTATGTCTGCTCTTTGTAATGCCAGTGTGTTGCAGGCTAATCTGAATAGGTTTTTTTTTTAAAGCAGTTCCTTTTGGGTGCTGCTGAGTTTCTGCCCTTGGAAATTGTCGAGATTGTTTGTGTCAGTGGCTTTGAGTGGACTTGGATATGAAGCTTGTTAAGTTGGGTGAATGAGGATGCAGCAAGTCAGAGTAGTGAGTGACAACAGCTCTTTATTATATAGTGAGAACCCAGCAACTGACCCAGGGAGCCAGCTCCCTTTATATACCTTGCAGCTGTGGTGGTCAGCCAATCAGCTGATGGTCGGTTAATTCAAACTTCCCGCCAAACAAACCTATTTACATAACAAAGCTTTTTCTACTGAAGAGACTTTCTCATTGAATTTCTAGAAAATTTGTTGTTCATCATCAAGCATGTTACTCTTTCTGCTCCTTTTTGCCAATAAAATGTGTTTGTTTTCAGCATACCTATAGCATTTGCCTCTGCCATATCTACACGGAAGCTGAATTCCTCAGGTCTTCTGTCCTAATTTTAAGGATTGCAAGTTAATGCATTTGGTAGCTGCAGATCCTTTGTATTTTTGATTCCCCTTTTTGTATTTGCTTATATTAAGACCTTCATGAGCCTCTGAATACAGTTTCTGCAGTCAGTGCTGTCACAATCTTTCAGAAACAGTAGAAAATACTTACAGAATCAAACAACTTCCACTTTCAAAACTATTTTATTTTATTTTCATGTAAAGAAGCCTCTTAGTATATGGCCTTTCCCTTTTCTCGGGGCAGACAAAGTGGCTTCTTTCCTATATCCTGATTTTGCTGAAAAAATTTCAAGATGATATTTTTTACGCTTGCATTTCCTTACTTTTAATATTCAGACAAGATGCTTGAAAAACTGGAGTTGTAATTTATTGGCGGTAGACTTCTGTTTCCTCTTTCTTCACCACGAGCAAGATTTCTCATAACTGGGTAGATAAAGCAGAAGTAATGGTGTTTCAATTTGCATTCAGATATGTGCTATGCAAATGACATGGAAAAATGCTTTGCTGAAGAAATCTTCCATGATAGTCAAACCAACAGGTAGAAGTTAAAGGAGAATGCGAGTGTGCAATGAAGGGCAGCATGCTACAGCAGCACCTGACTGTGGGACTGTTCCTCCTTTCTGATCTCTTCCTAAAAGGTGAGAGATTTATATTTGTTTACACTAAGGGATCGTAAGAGGAAGAGAGCGTTGGATCCAGGTGTCTCAAAAAATCCTAGAATTTGAAGCATCAAAACTATAAAATGGAGGAGTCTTATGAGTTAATAGTGGTAAGATGTGACAAGTGAGTGTTCTCTAGTCTAAAGAATAACAAAGTAACAGAATAAGAGAGTTGGAAGAGACGTTGGAGGCTTTCTATTTCAACCCCCTGCTCAACTGCTTTTAGCAGTTGTCCAACTGCTAAAAAACTTCCAGTGTTGGAGCATTCACAACTTCTGGAGGCAAGTTGTTCCACTGATTAATTGTTCTCACTGTCAGGAAATTTATCCTTAGTTCTGGGTTGGTTTTCTCCTTGATTACTTTCCATCCATTACTTCTTGTTCTTCCTTCAGGTGCTTTGGAGAATGAGTTAACCCCTTCTTCTTTGTGGCAGTCCCTTAGATATTGGAACATTGCTATCATGTCTTTCTTTTCATTAAATTAGACATACTCAGTTCTTGAAATGGTTCTTCCTATGTTGTGACTTCCAGCCTCTTAATCATCTTTGTTGCTCTTCTCTGCACTCTTTCTAGAGTCTCAACATCTTTTTTATATCATGGCAACCAAAACTAGATACAATATTCCAAGTGCAGACTTACCAAGGCATTATAAAATGGCTTTAACCGTTCATGTGATCTTGAATCTATCCTTCTGTTAATGCAACCTAGATCTGCCTGGCTTTTTTGGCAGCTGAAGCACCAGCTGGCTCATATTTAAATGATTGTCTATTGGGACTCTCTCCTAATCCCTCTCACAGTTACTTTATTGTTTTTTTGAAGATTCCCATTAATTAACTATTTATTTATTTTTTTGCACTGGTTCCACAGCTTGCATTTATTTATTGTACAGAGTGGTGTAAAATTCCACCCCAAAATATTTCATTTCTGTAGAACAATGGGATAAATTTCTTTCCTTCCTTACTGTACTAGCAGCAACATCAGTAAACAGTCATTAAGTGTGGAGATATAATGGGCAGACGTTAGAAGAACTTCACTTCAGGAGAAACATTTTGTTCTATTTCTTACTGGCAGCTATTTCCAAGGAGTAATATAGTTTAGATTAAACCAGATCAAAAGCAGCTGTAGCTCATTTTTTTTAAAGGAAAAAGCATAAGAAATTGCAAGATCAGGGTGACTGAAATGAAGAATTTGAATAGCTGGTGTTGTTTTTTGGTAATTGGTCTGGAATTTTAAGGCATAATTTTATGTAACCGTGTCTGTTCCATCTTGTGAGAAGGTGAACAGTGTAGGGAGAAGCAATTTTACTTGGAAAATGACATTCAGAACTTTCCCTTCTAACAGTTCTCTGATAACCTTGTTAATGAAAACTAAATTATAGGCTTCTACTATATTGTTCTAGATAAGCACCACGATTCAAATGTTTTCAAAGTGCTATTTGGGAACATTTTGAAGATAGTTTGTCATGTGGGTTACTGGCCTAGTTGAGACATTAGTTCTTATTTTCTCTGACACTTTCATGAGGGAACTTCACTTCCTGGATACTATATGTGGTGAGGGTTGAGGGTTTTCCCCTCAAGTTCTGCTTTTGGAATCTTTTCTTTTCTTTTTTTAAATAGACTTTATTCAACCTTTTTTTAATTTTAAAAGGACATTTCCATTTTTACAGCTTTCAACTATCGGTGATTCAAATTTCATAATTCCAATTTGTGGCCTATTATTTTATACACCTATATACACCTATTTATTTATTTTATACACCTATTATTTTGTACACCTTTAAATATATAATATCTTTTACTATATTCTATTTTTGTTCTTCATTAACATCAATTTAATATAGTCATCATATGAAAGGCAGTGACATACCAATGGAAGAAAAAGTAATTAACAAAATCATGGAATGTGCAGAAATGGACAGACTCACAAAGGAATTACAAAATAGCCAAGAACACGATTACTACTTAGTATGGGAAAAGTGGTATACCTTGTTGGAAGACAGAAAAGGGAAAAATTAGGAAGTAAGTGGAGTGACCCAATATAGCAATAAGAATATAAAATTTACGAATATAGGTTAACAATGAACCACCAAAATAGACATAAGAAATAGACCAATAGTAATAAGGAGTCAAAAGCAAAAACAAGAACATACAGTACAGTTACGATAAACTTGATATATATTTGAATTCTTGTTTATATGTTTATATGTTTTGTATGTTTTGTCGTGATTTGTTTTGTTTAATTTGCATTTTCAAATAATTTTTTTTAAAAATAATAATAATAATATAGTCATCATATTTGTAGTATGTATACATATGTATTTACATATTCCTTTTATCCTTTAACAAGTTTTATCATATTTATAAATCTATAAAATTTTCAATTTCAATTTAACGTACTTTCTATATCATCTTTATGCATCAATTTTACATCTCGTCTCAAGCCATGGATACCACATATTCCAACTTTTGTAATACTCTGATTCCTCTCTATCTTTAAGCTCCATGGTTAATTTATCCATTTCTGTGCAATCGAGGACTTTTTTTTTATTATCATTGCGTTTGATGGCATGTTTTCTTGTTTCCAATTCTGGGCAAATGTGATTCTTGCTGCTGTTGTAATATGAAGTATAATATATTGAGCCCTTTTACTTACATTTCCTTTTGCTTTTGGAGTCTTTTCATCTTCTAGCCCTGCAATTTGGTCAATCCCACTTCTGTTCCATTTTCTTTGTTCCATATTCTTTGTGGGCTTTTAACGGTTTTGTTTTGTGATTGCAGTTGTTCTGGATGGCCGAGTCAGCAATGTGACCGCAACATTGAAAGGATGTTCTGGATTGTGGATATTGGGATGGGGCTTGGCAGGGTGGCTAGATAGGTGAATGCAACCTTATCTTTTCTTTCCAGATGAAGTTCCTTATCTTGCTTGTCTCCAAATTATTGGTTCCACTAGGTTTTGAATTGCTGAGAATTGCTGCACCGCATCTGTTCCAACTGAAAACATCTCCAGTGTACTTGAAAAGCAACTCAGGTGTTCCCCAGTTTGTCTTCCCCCTACACAGGCTCAGATATGGCTAGCGTGACTTTGGTTTGCTCTTTGAGCAGTGCCAGTCCTTCAGGATCCAGCTCTAGTTTGCCAAGAGTTGAGCTCTGAGAAGGGGCAGCTGGTTGGCTGACTCTCTTCTCCATCAAATTGGACAGAATTTACTTCCCTCTTGCCAGCATTTTCAAGAAAACAATTCCAGCTACTGTCCATTCTGTGAAGTATTTCATCTCGGCAAGCTGGCATAGCATCTTACAGAACCTTTCCATGAATTTGGCCAAGTGACACTGAGTTAGGAAGCAAAGTACAAGATAGTCCTGAACCTATGACCACAATTGAGCCCAACATTTCTGTTGCTAAGTGAAACATTTATTAAGTGAATTTTGCCCTATTTTAATTATCTTTCTTGCTACAATTATTAAATGAATCACTGCAGTTGTTAAGTTAGTAACACAATTGTTAAATGAATCTGGCTTCCCCCAGAGGTGGGCTGCTGTTGGTTCGCACCAGTTCGGGCGAACAAGTAGTTAAGATTCTGAGCAGTTCAGCAAACTGGCAAATCCAATCACTGGTTGGCCCCGCCGCCACTCATTTTTCAGGCTGTTTTCCAGGCTGTTTTTGGGCCGAAAACGACCCCAAAAATGGCCTGAAAACAACCCAAAAATGGGCAGGGCCAGAAAGTGGTGGGATTAGCCCCAACTGGCTGAATCCTACTTCTGCCTTTGAGGCGAGTGGCCAGGAGGCAGGGCTGGGTGTGATGAGTGACATTATTCACCCAGTCACATGACCAACTGGCCATGCCTACCCAGCCAGAGAACCGGTTGTTAAGTTATTTAAGTCCCACCACTGGCTTCCCCCATTGACTTTGCCTGTAAGAAGGTGGCAAAAGGAGATCACATGATCCTGGGATACTGCAACCATCACAAATATGAATCAGTTGTCAGAAATATGAGTCAGTTGTCAGAAATATGAGTCAGTTGCTGCAATGGTTATATATGTGAAAAACGGTCACAATTTACTATTTTCAGTAGTGTGGTAACTTTGAACTGTCATTGATGGACTGTAGTAAGCCAAAGACTTCCTGTATGTGGATGGTAGAGAAAGGATCTCCTTCCCCCACCCTCCCAAAGGAAGAATGACTTTGCCTGAATATAAATTTCTTTTCCATCAGAAGTGTAGAAAGTTGGGGGTGGGGAAAGTCCAGGGTTCTGAGGTTGAAAAGAACTAAAGATATTCAAAGTCTGGAATGGTCAGTGATAGTTTGTTGATGGTATCATGCACTTGTTGGCTACATGTAACTGTTATGTATTGAATATATATAGTTGTGTTAAGCAGTGGTGGGTTGCCCCCGGATTGCACCAGTTCTATAGAACTGGTAGTAAAACCGGCAGGAGGCTCCACCCACCAACCCTGACATCATCAAAACGCTTCTGCGCTTGTGTGGAAGAGTGCGTACGTGCGCGAGCAAAACAAGCGCGCACAAGCGGCCCCACTGCAAACCGGTAGAAAAGGTAAGTAGAACCCACCCCTGGTATTAAGCCCTGCTAAAGTGAAACTAACCTTTAGATGAGTGTTAACTCCAACTGTTTTGGAGGGAAACTTAATACATTCATATCTGAACGGGCTTTTTCAAGTACTATGATTGGTTAAGGCCCTATGGGCCTAGAGTATAAATTACAGGCATTTGCCTGCTGTTCCTCAGTTCCAGTTTTGAGTCAATAAATGTTGTTGTACCTATGCTGGTCTGCTCCTTGCCTACTGAAGCCCACTACACAATGTGTACCATAGGAAGACATGGTAAAATTACAGTGCAGGATACTTTATATTTGCTCTGGTTAGATCTAGCAGAAGGTGATTTTGAAGGTTTTTCCCTCAAACATTCACCTGTTCTCAAAACATACGTATAACCATTCCTTCTTTTCACCCTTCCTCTTGAGGCAAAGAAAGAATGATTCTCAGAAAGCTACATCACAGATTAGGATCATGGCCATGACAGATTAGCTTCCATCGCTAATCAAGAGACCATGGAAGCTTTTTACTGATGTGGCTTCCCCAAAAGGCAAAAACAAATGGGAAACATTATGTTTAATCGCTGCTTTATTATTAACTGATAAAGTACATGGGATTGAAGCCCTTGTGTGTTTAAAGAACGTGATTTTGGATATTCATAGCTGCACTTGCTTTACAATAACTACATTATTGTACGGGCGATTCCGGATCTACGTACTTTCTGTCGGGCCCTCAAAACTTTTTTATTTCATCAAGCCGGGCTGGCCTAACTTTCCAATGATGTAATTTTAATTTGAATTTTAAATGGGGGATTTTAACTGTTGGGCCAAATTGTTTAATACATTTTAAATTGTTTTTAAATTTTGTATTCTATGTTTTTTACCTATGGCTGTTCACCTCCCTGAGTCCTTCGGGAGAAGGGCGGTATATAAATTTAAATATTAAATTAAATTAAATTAAATTAAGGAACAAAAATAGCGGAAGCCTAGGGCTTATCCACCCATGTTCCGAAACTTCAGCCAAAGGATGCCTCCCTAACTGTTCTTGAAGGATACATCTGCATGACGTAGCCTTCCCTTTATTCCCAGTCCACAGCTAGAGCTAACTAATTTTGCCTTTTTCTGATCCAGTGAGATAGTAATGTTTTCATCTCCTCTCAATGCTAGTCCCGCTATACGCACAACTTGTGTCACATGCATGTAGGCCTCTTTCAGCTACTGCAAACTTCCTCCCTTCTCTCTGTAGCTTCTGACTTTTCCCATGACTAGATCAGGACCTCTGTAAACTGAGCTGCTTGCTTGTCAAATCCATGTAGTAATAGTCCTGACTCTGTAAGTTACAGAGTGCTTAAGGCTACTACAGTGTCCATCAGAGTGTGTTGCATGTTGGGGCATTCGTTTCTACTCTGAATTGACAATTTGACAATCTGATTTACAGAGGGCCTGGTCAGCTACTCAGAGTGGTCCAGATCTACCTTCCAATGGTAGAGAAACTGGTCCTTGCAAATCAAAGGGTGCTACAGCAACCTCCCTTTTAGTTCATCTGTTTCAGAACAGGAGATTACATTAAAATGGCTAAAATGCTTATATTTAATGATTCAGAGAGATGGATAATCCTGCCCCTCTAAAGTCAATCAGAATGGGACAATTTGCCGACACTGGGTCGGCTCACCACCACCAGTCATCCCAGTGGTGAAATGTAAAATTTGTTACTACCGGTTCTGTGGGCGTGGCTTGGGAGGGGTAATATGACTGAGTGGGCGTGGCTAACTTTTTTTTTTTAACTTTTAAAACCATTTTTTCTACAACCTCTTTGGCTGAGGTTGTAAAAAAATGCTTTTAAAGCCTCTGATGATCCCAGCTGACTTGCCTGATCGGCAGAGGCTTTTTTTCCTTTTAAAAACATTTTTTCTATAACCTCTTCAGCCGAAGAGATTGTAGAAAAAATGCTTTTAAAAGCCTCTGATGATCCCAGCTGAGCCGCGTGATCATCAGCTTTTTTTTTTACTTTTAAAAGCATTTTTTCAGCCAAAGAGGTTATAGAAAAAATGCTTTTAAAAATTAAAAAAAATGATTTTAAAAATAAAATAATAAAAAAAAAGCTTCGACTGAGCCAGTCGAAGCAAGCCAGTGGTGGAGACCCGGCAACAGTAGCTGGTTACGGCAACCCAGCAGTAACGAGTTCTCCTAGACCCAAAGTCAAAATGCAGTTCCTCCCCCAGGCCCAACTTACTTTAGTATATATATATTTATTACTTTATTTTTATTAAAATTCACAAAGAACATAAAAACTAACCCAAACTAAAAAAAAAAAGGGGAGGGGAGAAAGAAAAAAGAAAAAATTGCAGACGACAGAGAACAATAAACAGAAAGAAAAAATTTCCAATATCTTCTGAAGCAAATATAAGCACAATTACAATATTAACTCTGACTCTATGAGTTACCAAAAAAGAGCTCATTTTTTTTTCTGTTACCCAGTTTTTTCTAATAATTAAAAACAGAAATCACGAATGCACTTGTTTCTTCATGAAAAAAGTTTATAAGAGGTTTCAATCAAATATATATAAAATGTCCCTTCACGTTGCTAGACCCAGCCTACTTTTGGAAAGTGACTGCTGGAAGTTTTGTCCCACTGAAAGAGAAATGCATCAATCCCTGTACCTTAAAAGTCCTCTCCCCACCTCCTTTAATAGTAAATCAGTCATTGGCCTGGTCATACATCCAACTGTATACAGCAGGCAGAATGATGCTGGCATCCTTGTGCTATGAAGGGTCCCTGGTGCTCTCTGAGCTTGGTTTTCTTGCAGATGTTTTGTCACCCAAACTAGGTAACATCATTAGTGCTGATCATTAGTAACATCATCAATGCTAGCTCTGATTATGTTGCCTAGTTTGGGTGATGAAACAGCTGCAAAAAACCCAACCAAGTTCAGAAAGCACCAATGACCCCTCATATCTACTAATATTCTCCTTTATTGGTTCTTGTGTTGCCTCATGGCCTGGTGGGAAGAATGCTAAAACTACTCTCAGATTGTACTCACAGCCCCAAAAACCCATTGGGATAACATGCAAATTACTGCTTACAATGGGAATTTCCTTCTATAAAAAAAGAATGGACATTTATCTGTTCCTTGATACTCTAGCCTGAGTTAAACTTCAAAGATGGTTATAATCTATATAGGTAGTCCTCAGTTTACAACAACTTGAGCCCAAAATTTATGTTGTTAAGTGAGAAATCTGTTAAGTGAGTTTTGACCCATTTTCTTGCCACATTTGTTAAGTGAATCACTGCAGTTGTTAAATTAGTAACACGGTTTTTAAGTGAATCTGGTTTCCACATTGACTTTGCTTGTAAGAAGGTCGCAAAAAGGGACCACACGATTCTGGGACACTGCAACTATCATAAATGTGAGTCAGTTGTTAAGCATCCGAATATAAGCCAGATGACTGTGGGGATGCTGTAATGGTCATAAGTGTGACAAATAGTCATAGGTCACTTTTTTCAGTGCCATTGCAACTTCAAATGGTCACTAAACGAACTGCTGTAAGTCGAGGACAGGGACGGGTTTCAAAACCCGTCACTACTGGTTTGCTTGTGGGTGCGCGCGACACTTCTGTGCATACGCAGAAGTGTCCAGGCATGTGGGCGGAGCCTGCTGCCGCTGCTATCGATTCACCCGATCTGGGGCGAACCAGTAGCAACCCACCACTGGTTGAGGACTACTTGTACTAAAATATCCTTTTAATATACTATTATATCCTGTAATAAATTCTACAAATTGGCTTTGTTTCCTTTTTTCAGCTACCCAGTCTCAATATCAGGGATTTCTTTTGACTCAACCCATCAAAATGTCAAGATGAAGACACCTAATTTCCCCAGACCTAAATGAAGCAGCCCTGCATGTTTATATTAAAATTAGCCCATGAAATAGCTGTCAAAACTGCTTTGCCGCTGATTTTAGCAGAATGCCATCCAATTTGGCAGCTCAGCATGGCCGTCAGATTTTAAAGAAATAATAGAAAAGAGCTCCAGGGATTAGTCTGCCTCACTCTGACTGATAGGGGGGGGGGGGGTCTCCTTTGCAAAAAATACAATCGGCAGTTGTATTGCTGATGTCCCATTAAGTCCTATGTTCTGTGAGACGTTTAGCCTTGGGTTGATATGCTTAAATGCCCTCCTAGCTTCTCTGATAAAACCACAAGGAAAAGTTCTGAACATCTTTCTGTAATTAAACCGAACTTGATTTTTTTTAAAATTTGATTTATATGCCGCCCGTCTCCGGAGACTCAGGGCGGCTTACAATGCGTTAAGCAATAGATTTGACATCCAAGCCAAACTCAGTCGCTAATTTTAATTATGGTTTCCTCGAAACAAGCGAAAGTCAAGATCAAAGCATAGTTCATGAATCTGTCTTAATTTAACAAATTACAGTAAATATTAATTATAGTCCATTTGATTTCAGACTACAGTGAATTATAAACTAGAATGAAAATACCGTATCCTTCTCCTTTTTACAGCTCTATTGAAGGAGCTGAGGAGGAACACAGTTAGGCTGATGTTAGTTTCATTTCAATTGTACACAGAGAGAGAGAGAGAATATTACATTTCTATATTTATTTTGCTAATTAATATGATCTCCATATACCAAACAAACACCTTTTGATTTTTAGTCTTCCAATATACTTATCAGTTGATTTATTAATAGAGAATGAATCTGCATGCCATCTCTTCATCAGAGCAAGTCAAGACTCCACAGAGTAAAACTAATGTTTCTATATGGGACAGAAATATTTAAAAATCTTCTCTTCTTTGAGTTTTTTGTTAGTTTGTTTGTTTTGTTCCTTGTATGGCAAAACCACTTTTTCCACCTGCACAGAGGATAATGGCTTGAATGGTTGCCTGAGATTGGATGTTCCTCTTTTTCAGGTTTGACGTCTATCATTGTAGGTCCTTCGATGTTGAATGCTTCGCTTGGCAAGACGCTGAGTGTAAAGTGTCAATATAAAGCAGGTTATCATAACTACGTTAAATACTGGTGCAAAGGCTCTGATTGGGGTTCCTGTACATACGTCGTTAAGACTGATGGGACTGAGGAAGAAAATAGAGTTGGCAGAACTGTTATCAAGGACAATCACACGGAACTTGAATTCACAGTGAGAATGGAGACCATCACAAAGGAAGATGCTGGCATTTATTGGTGTGCCATAGAAAAATACGCATCTGATTTAAATTGGAAAGTAAATATTACAGTAACCATAGGTGAGTCTTTTTATCAAGCACTGTAGGAAGATGAAATCTTGTTAGAGATTATGGGAAAGTGGGGGAGGAAGCCCCAAATACATTGAATATTCATCTCAAGAAAGGCAACCCAGTCCAGATGCTGAGAGACAGTGGTGAAAGCCTCTTAAGGAGACTTGCATTAACTAACTCACTATAACTCTTTCAGGTACATCTCCTGAATTAGCTTTAGGGATTTCTTTTCCCATGACCTTTTTTTTCTTTTTTTCACCAGTGAATTTCACAGAGAAAGTGAAATGTTGGTCCTTCCTTCCTTCCTTCCTTCCTTCCTTCCTTCCTTCCTTCCTTCCTTCCTGGAACTGGGGTGAGATTGACACAAATTCTTCTGGTTTCTCCATCTAGCCCCACTAGAAATGTTCATTTTCTGAGCAAGCAACATCCTCCTCAAAAGCCCTGAAGCTTTTTGCTTATGCACCAAATTTCAAGATAACAGGCAATTCCTGAACGGGGGTTCATATGAAAGGATCTTCAGTGGAAAGAACATATCTTCAAAGACCCACATGTGGGAAAGAAGGCAATAGGGATTTGTTCCCAGCACAGATGGGATGTGGATAAAGCAGCAGGAGACTCTACCCATTGGGGGCTGTGATCACTGCCATCCAGACAGAACATCCTGCCTGCCCTTTTTACCAAAGCTTGAAATTCAGAAATGCTTTCTTAAAATGAAACTTCCAGCTGGTTTCAGCATGGAAGATGAGCAGTTTAAATCTGCCATGCAGAATTGTCCTTGGTTGAGAAAGGAGAAATATTTGATCACACACTTGGTATTAGTCAAAGAAAACTGTATGGAAAGAGAAGAACCAAACACTTTTTTTCAATGGCATGCTGTGCCAGGTAGTGGATTAGGAGTAATATAGACCAAATCTCTTGTATCCAGCAGCATTTCTGCAGAAAAAAAAGCTTTTGCCCTTCTGATATCTGATTGATGAGAATGTTGATTTCCATCACGGAGCTTGCTGGCAGCAGGAACAGAAGGAGAGAATTGATTATTGCTAGGAAAATGTAAAGCATCAGTAGTAAACTGGAGTCCTTCAGGGGTAGCATGTACTCTGCCTCGGCCCTTATATTAGAACTCCAGTTCTGTTCTGATCTCTTCGATTACTAGATAGAGGATGTATTGTAGGTAGAGGATGTATTGTATTATAAAGTTTGCATAAGTGAAAAAGTGAAAGCCACATGCTTAGGCTTCTCTATTACATAATTCCTTCTATTTCCAACATCCAAGCTACACCTTTCTTTTAGTTAAATATATCTTCCACTTTGCAGAGAGTTATACTAGGGAAGACAGCAGAAGTAATTTAGAGCAATTGAGATTCTGGGGCTACGTTCTATCACTATTCTATTTGTTTGCTTACTTGTTTATTAATGCAATAGGCATGTTGAAAGATTCCAAAACATTTTATGTGGCTTGCACAGGTAGAATCTGTGGGTAGACATGTACATCCTCCACACCAAAATTTATGGGTGCAGGCAGTGGTGGGATTCAGCCAGTGTAAAATTGCTGGCTGGCCCCTCCCCTCACCCCAGCCCCTTCCAGGAGTCCCCCGCGGCCCGTTTTTGCTCCCAGGAGGCTGCAGGGAGGCCTACTAAGCCTAAAACAGGGGGTTGCACCCCAGGGGGTGCAGGTGGCCAAGTGCTGCCTGTCACATCTGGCCATGCCCACCATGGCCACGCCCATCCAGCCTGTTATTAGAGCAGAGAACCAGTTGTTAAATTATTTGAATCCCACCACTGGATGCAGGGGTGATCTTTTCCAATGCATTCAGCTTTACATACTGTCTCCAGTTCAACAGACTGCTCAACCTCTGTGCCATTGATATTGATGCACAAATCAGTTGAGACTGTTGCTTTCCATTGAATCAAGTCCTGGCTCTGCTACCTGCTAGGGATGCTACCTTGCAGATAACCACATATGAGACCTATTCATGATTTGGTTCTAGGAATCAGTTGGGTGGGCTGCCATTGTATCAAGCCTTCCTGCTACATAATGGATTCCAGCCCAAGCTGCTTTGGTGCTGTGGCTGAATTGGCAATAGAATTCCCTGGGTTTATGGTGTTGAAGGGCATCAATCTTCCTTCCCTGGGCACAGGAGCAGAGGCAGCTCAGGAGTACATGGCAGTCATCCTAACAGTTTATGTAAACTGGTTTTTCTCAAAGTCTGATCTCAGCACCCTGGGGTTCCCTCGGGACTCTCTCAGGGCTTTGCAAATTGAAATAATTTGTCAGACAATGTTGAAAAATTAAATTCCCATCAAACATTTGTGAGAAGTGGTAATGGCAGCAAATGTATCCATTTTAATTTAAATTCTGTAAATATTGATAAACACAACCCATACGAACAAACAAAAACCTCTTTTGCTGCCCTCCATAATTTTTGGAGTAGAAAGGAGTCCTAAAAGTTTAAGAGCCACATTGAAATTTGAAGGAAGAAGCAAAGCATTTTAACAAGGGAAGGAAATTGGTTCAGTTCCCTGTCGGCCAATATTCTTGGTATAACAGTATATTAAAAAAAATATGCCTTTCCACAAGAACATAAATTACAGACCTCTTAGCACGCTGGTATTTATATTTGCTGTTTATATTTGCAGGTTTATTTAATCTCCTTCCTGGGGTTATTTCCAAATTGGGGCGACTGCTACCTGCTGCCAAAGTACACAGACTACTTAGAACAGAGGGGAAAAGAATGATTGCAAACAAATGTGATAAGTTCCATCATTCCATACCTGTATTTCCAGAAGCCAGGCAGAAGTGAGCAAGTCTGTTGAACATTTCATTGTCAAATTGTTCCCTCCCACCTCCCCGTAGGCATCAATAGGTCCTCCTGATGTATCAGTTTCGACACGTCATCAATCTTTAAATTTACCTTCTGTGTTGACATAATACTTGTAGCCAATTTGAATGGAAAACAACCTCACAGGGGAAAGTTACTCCTTATTTCTGAAGTTTGGAATGTTTTTCCAACAGTGAGAGGTCCATCATTGTCGGTATACATTGTTGATATAATTTTAAGATCATGCAAGCATAGGTTAGAAAATTATGGGTTTCTACTTTCTTAATTTTCTTTTTTAGAGCTGCCACCTACCAGTATGACAACAACGGGATCTATTTCCACCACCTCAACCTTCCCTACTGAAACTACACAGAGAAGTCCAAATAAGTAAGTTTAGATATACGAAGAGCAAGTGACAGGAGTTGTCAGAATTTAAGGATATAAGGCAGTGGATCTTAAACTTTTTACCACCACATCTCCCTAGAGCAGGGGTGTCAAACTTGATTTCATTGAGGGCCACATCAGGGTTGTGTTTGACCTCGGGGGGACAAAGGCTGTGGCCAGGGTGCATGGCAGCTCGACATCACTCATGTCGGAGGGGCCTATGGTGGCCTGAGTACTGTGCCAGTGAAAATGGGCTCCCGAGCTCTGTTTTCGACTATGACAGCTTCCTGCAACCCTCTGCCAGCAAAAACAGAGCTTGGGAGAGCTGCCCATGGCCTTCGTGAGCTCCGTTTTCGCTGGCAGAAGTACTGCGGGCCGGTCCTTTGCTGTTTCCAGGGCGGCTCTGTGGGCCAGATCTAAGAACCCCACAGCCTGGATCTGTCCCCCGGGCCTTGAGTTTGACATCACTGCCCTAGAGTGTAATCTTAAAGTACACGCCTTCCCTAAAAATCCAAACACCCAAAACAAACACAAATGAACAGTGAAAAAACATATAATGGAATCTAGGGAAATATGTATTTACTATAACAATGTAGAACTAAATGGTACTTTACACCTTCCCTGGACTCTGTCTATATCTTCTCAAAAACGGGAGGGAAATTGGGAAAATCTAATCTAAAGGCATATTTACTTACTTACTTACCATTCCAGATGCCTATACAGATGGCAATGGAATTTAAAGCTTGCTTTAAAAAGTGCATGCAGACTGATATACTTTCCAAAAAGCTTGCAAAATATTTAGCCCTGACAGCAGGTGGCTCTCATCTCCCATTCAAAATAATTCCTCTTCTGTTGACCCTCCCACATTTCTATTCCAAGAAAGCAGTGATCAATCACTTTGCTTCTGGTGGCCAGATCACCCATACATCCTTTTATATGTATATAACATGCAGATATGTAGAAAAAGTAGGCTCCTTGGTGCTCTCCTAGGTTAACTGTTTTCTTGCAGATGTTTCATTACCTAAAGCCCATCAGTGCTGATGAAGTTATCTAGTTTGGGTAATGAAACATCTGCAAGAAAACAACCAACTTCAGAGAGCACCAAGGACCCTTCATTTTAACTCTGAGCTACAAAGGTTCACCTCTATCTGTAAAATAATGCATTTAAACAAAGTACAATTAAAGTTAAATATTTAATGCATATTAATTTATATGCACAAAGGTACATACACAAAGTTAATACACATAAATGCAAGTACAACAACTCCCTTCAAAATTAAAGAACCCTTCCTAGCTGGCTGTTTTAGAGTCAGTTTGATCTTGTGGTTAAGGCACAAGGCTAAAAAGTGGGGGACCATGAGTTCTAATCCCACCTTAGCCATGAAAGCCAGCTGGGTGACTGGGGGCAGTCACTCTCTCTCAGACTACCTCACAGGTTTGTTGTTGTGGGGAAAATAGGAGGAAGAAAAATGTGTTGGGTACATTTGCCAGCTTGTGTTATTTATAAAAATAATAAAGGTGCGATGTTATTATTATTATTATTATTATTATTATTATTATTATTATTATTATTATTTATTTGATTTGTATGCCGCCCTATCTTCATAGGACTCAGGGCGGCTCACAACAATTAAAATCAAACCAGATAAAACATGTTAAAATACATATTAAACACATGTTAAACATATTAAAATAATCCAAACCCAGTCCAGGCTGGGCAATTTGAACAGCCATGTTTTTAATTCGCGGCGGAAGGTGTGAAGGTCAGGGGCCAACCGGAGCCCCAGGGGGAGTTGATTCCAAATAATAATAAATAAATAAATAAATAAATAAATAAATAAATAAATAAATAAATAAATAAATAAATAAATAAATAAATTTCCACTCTAAATACTTCTAGATGTCTACTTTTTTCAAAACTGCTAAGATAGCTCTGGAGTTAAGGATTTTGGCTCAAAAGAGGCTGGTGATTTCAAACCCAGAAAGAACATATAATATAAACACATACACTAATTTCATTCCTTCAGCTGGCTAGCTAGTTTTTCATAGCTAGCTGAGGGCTTTTTTAAAAAAAGGATGTGAAAGTTTCTCTTTTCTCTGGAGACTGAGGGAATGGTGTAACCTTCCACTGTTAACTAGAGAAAGATAGCTAGCTACTGAAAGGGGGAAAAAATAGTAATTAAAAAAAATCTCTGGGGTTTCATACTGGCAACCTCTTACACGAGGCAAAAAGCTTTTAGCTACTGCACGGTTTTAGCAAAGGTGAAAAAGCTTTTAGATAGCAAACTATTGCTCAAGTATTTCAGCCTCTGTGAGTTTCTAGCGTTAGTGGACTCAAAATAGAGAACTCAAAGCAGCATAAGAGAAACAGATTATTTTAAAACTGTGGCAGGAAAAGAGAGTTCAGTTTTGCAACGGGAGGGAGGTTAATAAAGTGTGTTGTATCTGCCCTCAGAAAATGGTTGCTGTTCTGTTCTAACATATAAGGCATGACTTCTGTTTGTGGTTTCCAACATGTTTGAGATTTGTGATCTGTGACTAGAACCAGCCTGTGCAAAAAATGATGAGGTAACACCAAGTAGTACATATGGATTTTTTCATACTGAACCTCTATTCCAACATTTGTGGATAAGTTCCCCCCCACACACACACACACTTATTTTAAATTGGCCCTCTATATGGAGGACATCTGCAAGGCAAGAAAAACTGGCTGTGTAAGGATTAGAAATAAAGCATATATGGATTTTTCACAGCAAGGGATTAACTCTTAGTATATCAGCGGAAGTAGGAACAAAATGAACATTTCTCTTTAGAATTAAGAGACTTCATCTATAGAAAGTCTCTGTATAATCCTTCTATGGAGGATTGCTCCAAAGTAGAAGTTCCCAGTGCCATCCAGTCTGAATGAATCTAGTTTATTCATTTAAATAACACCCAGAGCTATATGGCAAACAACCAGAAGGTAATATAGTCCAGCAATCTCACTGATTTTCTGATATCTGTCCCACCAGAGACGTTGATCTCATCATCCTGCTACCCGTGCTTCTTGGGTTACTGATACTAATTTTAGGTGGAACGACACTGTTGATGTGGAAGCTAAAGAAGAAAAAAGGTGAGAAATTTGCAAAAAGCATTTGCATCTTGATTGTTTCCTTCCTTAAATCAGGAGTGAACCATGTTTGGTGGCTGGGAAGACATATTTTTTAAAAATGACATTATTAAGAATTTTACATAAAGATTTATCTTTAAAAAAAGAAAGGAAAGAAAGAAAAAAGTGTAAGAAAAAAGAAAGAAAAGACACTTAAACTACCCTGTTTCCCCCAAAATAAGACATCTCCTGATAATAAACCCAATCGGGCTTTTGAGCACATGGCAATAAGGCCAAGCGCTTATTTCAGGGTTCCAAAAAATATAAGACAGGGTCTTATTTTCGGGGAAACACGGTACTAAATACGATGACTTTCAACCTTCTCTTCAATATATAATTATAATTTTATAATCCCTTCTCCTTCTTAGAAGTTATACAAATCTCTCATTTAATCCACATCTTTGAATCCATAAACTATCATATCATTTTTGTTTGCTTTCAGCAAAAAGTCCCTATAAGGTTTCCAGATTTTCAGAAAAGTTTTTGTTGTTGTTTTTTTCTCTGACCAAATAGATCAACTTTGCCATCTCAGCAAATTCTAACATTTTCGCTATCCATCCCTCCACTGTGGGAAATGTCACTGTTCTTTCATCATTGAACTTAACAATACTTTTGCTGCAGTTACCATATACAAAATCAATCTGCCATGAATCTTTTCTAATTTCTTGTCCATAAGTCCCAATAAAAGAGTTCTGGTTTCTTCATAATATTTATCTTTAAAATCCTTTTCATCTTTTATGAATTTGAATGAATGAAGGAATTGTTTTTCTGATCCCTGTTTCTAATTACAGAAAACCAGGAATCTGAGTAACAGCTGCCTAACTCCATAATTTGGAAAAAAATGTAATTTTCCTGAGAGAAAAATCTAATTTTTAAAAAGTTGGTTAGATCATAAAAATTAACTGGGTCAAAGGAAGGAAATGATAACCATACGACTAACATTTTTTTTTCAAAGCTGCTGCTTTGAATGTTGCAACAATGCCCTAATGCTATTTTATTGTTGTTTTTTTTCAGTTACTAAAAACTCTAAGGTAAGCAATTTCCATCTACGGTAAGCAATTTCCAAAAATTTACAGGCATACATCGAAGCGCATTAACTTTAATAAGAGGACAGGAGTTGACCTGGAACATATTTATGGAGGATCACATTTTAAAGTCATGGCCCAACTCATAAAATTGATATAAGACATTCCATCTTATCCAATGTACATAGCTGGATCAATGACGCTGGCAGAAACCATGTCTGAACCATTTCGTCAAATAATAAGGTTGGAAAGGTCTGAGGTGTCAGCTAATCCAGCATTTCCCAAACGAATGCGTTCAGATTTTCTGGAACTCAAGCTCCCAGAATTCTCAGTAGCATAGCTATGTTAGAAGATAAGTGTGGGTATTTTTGGCTAAATACACCTGGAAGGCTTGGGAAGAATAATTTCAATTTAGAAGATGGAAGAGATTAGATATCTAGGAATTTAAATTCTTTTAATGAAGGAAATCACTAGGCCTTTGGGTCACATTCCATGATGACAAAGCCTTTCTGAAACAGAATTTACAGAATCACAAACCTGAGCATCAGGGCACAATTACAAAATAAGAAAAGATAAGTTCATGAATTTATCATGAAGTTTATCAGTAAATCTTGGATTCACTTCTGAGTCATAAAAGGCTATTTACAGTCTTGGGTCTCAATTTCTACATTTTCCTTGCATTTTTCAGTACTTAAAGATCAGTCAACAGGTAAAACTGTTTGACTACCAGACTTAAAAAAAAAATCATTGAAGAGAGAAACAATTTGCAAGGCTGACAGTTCAAAATAAAGAGATGTCCATTATTTAAGAGTCATACAACTTAACAGCATCCTAAAGAAAACTCCTTCCTTTCATGGTGGCCTATGTTTCTGTGTATTATGTTTTGGTTCTTTTTCAATTCTACATGGGTATCCTGAGTTCTTATTTCCCCATATCCTATGTGGAAATAAGATGCTATTTCATCCACCAAACTCAACACTTCAACACATTCAGCCACTGATTTCCAACAGTGAATCAGACTTCAGTGCAGTTGGTCTTAGAAGCTTTTATATGATTAGGCTTATCAAAGAAACAGACATCCCCACCACTGGAGTTTGAATTCCTTCGGAGGATGCTTCTGATTGGCCCCTTGCACCTCCTGTCTTCAAGGCTAGCACCAAAATCAATAGTTTCCATAATCTCAATGCCTATGGAAGTAATGCCATTTAATTCTATGGAAGAAACACATTTTTTTAAAAAATTGATTTATATGCCGCCCTTCTCCGGAGACTCAGGGCGGCTTACAATGTGCTCAGCAATAGCCTTCATCCTTTTGTATATTTATACAAAGTCAGCTTATTGCCCCCACAACTGGGTCCTCAATTTACCTACCTTAGAAAGGATGGAAAGCTGAGTCAACCTTGAGCCTTGGCGAGATTCGAACCTGCAGTAATTGCAGGCAGCTGGTCTTAATAACCAGCTTAATAACAGGGTGCCTTAGACCACTGTACTACCAAGGCTCTTTTATGCATTTTTATTCAAGGATTGTACCCTGACCCACCAAATGAGAATACATTATAGGACAAACAGAATTAATATAAATGCAGGGAAAAACAATGCCAAATGAAACAGTGTTTATTATGATATGATTGTGATATCATCCTGTTATATAGCCAGGGAAGGTAATGTCAGCCTAATGATGTTCCATCTGGTACTGTGAAGGTAAGAGAAGTACCAGGCAAACCAAATTAAGTAGCAACATGTTTTCCTTTAATTTAGGTTTCTCCTTCATCTGATCAAGCCACAGATGGCACAGAAGTGGCATATACAACTGTGATACCAACTCGGTCTTTTGCTCCTAAGTCTCAGGTGCTTTTGTTATTCAACTTTGTTAATGCTTTTAATACATTTGCAAAAGTGTTTATATATATATATATTTGTTTTCTTTCCTTTTTGTAGGCTTTATGTGTATTTCTCTTGAGCCAGGTTCTTCCTACGTAAACCAAGATTTTTATGCAGCCCTAGTTCAGTGAAATCATAATCCACTAGTTTCTAGGCTTTTTTTCTGTCAGCCAGCAAACTGGCTGTTCAATGGGCAGCAGAGTGTTTGCTGGCTGCCAGAAAAAAAGCATAGAAACTAGTGGATTGTGATTTCATGAACTAGGGCTGTATAAAATCTTGGTTTACATAGGAAGAACCTGGCTAAAGAGAAATACACACACACACACACACACACACACACACACACACACATATATGCAAGTCTTGGTGTATTTGGGTCTTCTCCCGTGTAAGATTGAGAGCACTTTGGCAGAATCTCATCTGCCATCATCAGGCTTGTGCAAGGGATCTTCTGCAACAACTGCCGTTACTATTTCAAATCTGGTGCTGGTAGTCTGCTTTGCTGGAATGGCCCCACCTCTTCATTCTGATTGGTTGGGAGTCCCAGTCTGTGTCTGTTGTCTTGGCTTTGGGTGTATGGTCGGTTTTTCTCCACCAGGTGGCAGGGCTTCATCTTTGTGGCTGGCTGGAATGTGATTTGGCTGGAGGTCTCGGGGTGTGTGTGTCTGGCTTCTGGGGTGTAGATTTTTCTGTCTGTGGGTGCTGGGACCCCCAAGAACCAAGACACAGAACAGGACAACGACATCGCCCTCCTCCCTTACATCAAAGACACCACAGATAAAATCAGCAAAATTCTCCACAAACACAATATCAAGACAGTCTTCTGCACTGACCAAAAAATAGCCAACATTTTAAGAAACCCCAAAGACAAAATCCAGCTGGAAAACCAAGGAGTCTATGAAATACCATGCAAAATCTGCCCAGCCACATACATTGGACAAACTAATAGGAGAATAAATGCACGCATTGCAGAACACAAGAATGCAGTCAGAAAAGAAGAAAAAACTTCCTCTCTTTTCCAGCACCTTAAAGCTACAGGACATGAAATTGATTTTGAAGGAACCAAATTAATCTCCAAAACTGAAACCTCAACAAGAGAATAGTTATGGAAGCCACTGAAATAGAAAAACGCCCCCATAACATGAATAAACGTGACGATACCTCCCGCCTACCAGACATCTGGAAACTAGCCCTTGTCAACAAACGAGTCCCAGCACCCACAGACAGAAAAATCTACACCCCAGAAGCCAGACACACACACCCCGACACCTCCAGCCAAATCACATTCCAGCCAGCCACAAAGATTAAGCCCTGCCACCTGGTGGAGAAAAACCAACCATACACCCGAAGCCAAGCCAATAGACACAGACTGGGACTCCCAACCAATCAGAACGAAGAGGTGGGGCCATCCCAGCAAAGCAGACTACCAGCACCAGATTTGAAATAGTAACGGCAGTTGCTGCAGAAGACCCCTTGCACAAGTCTGATGAACACCCCCCCCCGTCAGTTAAAAGGAAGAAACAGCTGCGATCACACATTGCTCCTAGAAGCACAAAGCCATAAACACCAGCCTGAAGATGATGAATGAGACTTCGTCGAAATGTCGCCAAGACACTTCCAATTTTATGCTTCCAACTTTCATGTATATGAAATTAGCTGTAATTTTTTTTCCAAATAAACAAAACTATTGGTGAATTCATCCTAGGAAAAGAAGCCTGGGAAACTTTCACCCAACCATTTGCAACCAATTCCCACTCCTAGTCTGATGATGGGCCTCTCAAAAGTCATATCTGTATATGGAATGCAAAATCAGTCTTAATTGTTCCAGGTCTACAAAATGTTTACAGAATTTAAAGGACATAGGAAACATCAAAAGACAACCTTCCTTTGACCAAATATAAAAGTAGATAAAATATTACAGGCCATTAATTCTGAAATTCTGGATTTTCTTAAAGTTATATCCATGTGACTCTCAAATCATAGTGTTGTCCTACTATTGGAATTTCCCAGGGATATGCTAAAGGCTTTATAAAATAGAATATTCCCATCATCTTATTTGTTTTTCTTTCCTCTTTCTTTGGTCATAGCAAGAAATTGGAAGATCAGTTGAAAGATGTTCTCCATGCCTTGCCTTCTGTGGAAGTTCCAAAAAGCTCCCCTGGGGGAGAGCTTCTTAAAAGTGAATCTCTGCACCACAATTGGCTGGCATATCTAGATTTTCTAGGGTGGTAATAATAGGTAAAGGTTCCCTGTTCAGTCATATCCGACTCTATGGGAAGGTTCTCATCTCTGTTTCTTGGCTGAGGGAGCCAGCATCGTCCAAAGACATTTTCAGTGGTCAGGTGACCAGCATGACTATATGCCAATGGCATATGGAATGCTGTTACCTTCCACTGAAGTGGTACCTACTTATCTACTCGCATTTGCATGCTTTCAAATTATTAGGAGGACAGGAGCTGATGTGCAAATTATGTAAATTGAATGCAGTTTCATCAGAGTTTGGCAGTTCTGACCATTCCATGCTTTCCTGTTCATCATCTGAATCTCCAACATAGAGCCTCTGGGCACCATTTTGCCTTCAAATACCTCATTTGGTTCTTTATTTGGACTTGAGCTCACCTACTCAGGAAAAAAAAGCAAAGTTACGCTGAGGCTGGCATGAGAGCAACTTCAACAGATTATTTCCTGGTAGATGGGCCTTTCTGAATGGCAATATCAACATCAATTACGGCAGCTACTTTGGAGACTGCCCATAACATCTTTCCACATTTCCACATTTACTTGAAAGGCCTTGAAGCCAGGAGATACTGTGAGGAAGATGTCTTGCCAGTGGAGAAATAGATAGTTCCAAGGCTCCATAGACCTCAGTATTTCAATAACAGAGAACTGTCTTACTGTGGTTTGAAGTTCACTATTCTCGAGACAAAAATAAATGGACTTGAACATTGCCAATGACCTAGAGATTAAAACTGCGGAAAGGCCTTGCATGGAGGCATTCTCAGAGAAAAAGGTCCCACTGTTGCTAGGATTTGATCTCAAGTAACTTCCTTGAATACGTACAAAAATATAACGGTAGGGTAATGGAGTGGGGGTGCTTAGAGTTATGACTTCTAAATGTGCAATTGGAAGAAGACACGCTATTCTGGAAGAACCACCCTCACTATCTAACACAGTGAAAATATTAAAATCTTACAGAACCTGTATTTATGACTGGCTTTACGGAACCTATTAATCTGAAATGTAGTTGCATAATTGATGACATTATGTGTTGTATGAATCTAAGCAGTATGGTTGATATGTAAATCCTAGCTGCTTGACCTCAACCTGGTCAACCATAGTTAAGGAAAAAGCCTATCGGCAAACCACAAATATGCATTTTTCTGACCACTTTTCAAATATTTTTGATCACTCTAGTAACACGTGCTATATGTTAACCTTCTAGGTTTCTGAAAACACAGAAAAGGTTGATTATGCGTCCTTCAGATTTTCTACCTTAAATGACCAACCTATCTACGCTAATGCGTGAAAAGAAGACAATCAAGCCACTCCTGAGAAGTTCTCATTATAGGAACTGGAAAAAGAAAGATTCAGAACCTTCTCTGTCGTCCTGTTCCAGCTGCTCCAATAGAAGACCGCAACCCTTCGGCATCCCTTACATTACTGCAGAGATGCAATAAAATAAAGGCCATCCTTTTGACCTAAGTGGAATGGCACTCCAGAGCCATCTTCAGTGACTTGTGTGTTAAGCCAGAGTATCTAAAAACTGTCCTTCTGGGCTACAACGTCCACAATTCCACAGCCAAGCCACCCACCGGTTTGTGTGATATGTTTTGTTGTTCAACCCTTTGAAAATCCCCTGGTTTTGCTCCTCCCTTAGGACAATCTTGCCAATAGCCTCAGGATTCATTCAAGCACAGAGACTATTTAAATCCAGCAGAGTACCTAAGCGATTCTGCAGGTAAAGATTAGTATCTGAGTAACCTGGCAGGTAAACATCCTTGCTTAGGGTTTTTTTTCCCCCCATCAGTTGTAGCAGAAGGAAATAAAAGCTATAGATTTCTTCTATTGGTTCTGCTGTGAGGCCACCAGTATTTGCTTCTTGTTTTTATTTCAGCGAATTGTTGAGTTCCTTCCAACCAACCAAGAGGATATGTGATATAATGTAAAATGTCTGCACCAAAAGTAGAAAGCTAGTGGGTCTTTTGGCCCAGGAGGCTTCAAGGTCCCTTCCCGCCTCTCCCTGTGGGGAGGAATCCCCAAAGGAAATTCCCAGCCCTTTCCCAAACAGAAAGGCACTGGCTCTTGGGAACAGACACTGGAAAACTTCCCCAAGACGAGAAGACAAGAGTGGCTGAGTCATCGTAAAGAGGAGAGCGAATGAAATGCCCATGAGGAGAAATAACCCAAAACCCTTAAAGAGGTAGCGCCTGGAACCAGGATGAGAAAGCTGATCATGTGAGGGCGTGAGATCCTACAGCTCTCAGGGCTCCAAGTAACACCCCCAACGAAAGAAGACTCCGAGGCCTGAAGTTCCTCAAAGCTCCATTTTATTAGAGATGTCATATTGGCTCATCTGGGAAAACCCGAATCTGAAGTCTCCCAGGTTTTCCCCACCCATAGAAAAGTCCAAGACCCTGCCCAGCACCCACATGTCCATCACATGGCCCAATCAATGCACCAACCCAACTGGAGATGCCTCCCTGTCACACCCCTCCAGGTGCAGGGCAAGATGTCCTTGACTCTCAGAGAAAGGAATGTTATTATGACTATATATCTCCTCTACTCTGTACAATTCCTCCTCCATTTTCTCACACCACTAAATGTGGCAGGTCTGAAGATCCAATGCAAAGATGGCTTCCAGGCTGACAACAGCTTTCTGAAGAAGAGTTAGAATCTGACTTTTCCAGAAGGCCTTTAGGGTTTATTTATTTAATTTATTTTATTTTTTAAATTTATATACTGCCCTTTTCCCGAAGGACTCAGGGTGGTGAACAGCCAAAGGTAAAAGCAGCTTAGAGTAGTCTTTGTCAACCTTAGCTACTTTAAGATGTTTGGATTTCAACTCCCAGGATTCCCCAGCTAGCCATTATTGTTTATACTGTTCTTTGTAGCACTTAAAAGATTAATATGGCAGGAAAAAAGGCTTTTAATGCTATACAGGTAATCCTCAACTTACAACAGTTCATTTAGTGACCATTCAAAGTTACAACGGCACTAAAAAGTGACTTATGACCGTTTTTCACAGTTACAACCTTTGCAGCATCCCCATGATCATGGGATCAAAATTCAGATGCTTGGCACTGAAGGTTGCTATGGCCCAAGGTCATGTGATCACTTTTTGCAACCTCTGGCAATCAAAGTCAAAGGGGAAATCAGATTCATTTAACAACCAGGTTACTAATTTATCAACTGCAGTGATTCACTTAACAATTGTGGCAAGAAAGGTTGTAAAATGGGGCAAAACTCATTTAATAAATGCTTCACTTAAGAATAGAAATTTTAGGCTTAGTTGTGGTCGTAAATTAAGGACTACCTGTATTTCCTAAACATCAAGCAACAGCATTATTTTTCAGAAATACTGAGGAAATACTTATACACATAGGGCAGGAGTTTTCCTCCAGAAAAGTTTAGAACCTCAGCCTGAGTCACCAATAGACCTAATAATTTGGCCCAGATACATACTCTCACCAAGGTTAATGTTAGTATCAAAACTTACATCTTGCGCTTAGGCAAGAAAAGCCAAAAGTACAGATATAGACTGGGTGAAACCAGGCTTAATAGCAGCAACTGTGACAGGGATCTTGGAGTCTTAGTGGACAACCAATTAAATATGAGCCAACAGTGTGCGGCAGCAGCCAAAAAAGCCAATGCAATCCTAAATTGCATTAACAGAGGGATGCAATCAAGATCAAGTGAAGTACTAATACCACTCTATAAAGCCCTAGTAAGACCACACCTAGAATACCGCATCCAGTTTTGGTCACTACACTATAAAAAAGACATTGAGACTCTAGAAAGAGTGCAGAGAAGAGCAACCAAGATGATTAAGGGACTGGAGGCTAAAATATATGAAGAATGGTTATAGGAACTGGGCATGGCTAGTCTAGTGAAGAGAAGGACTAAGGGTGACATGATAGCAATGTCCCAATATTTGAGGGGCTGTCACAGAGAGGAGGGGGTCAACCTATTTTCCAAAACACCTGAAGGCCAGACAAGGAATAATGGATGGAAAGTGATCAAAGAGAGATTCAAATAAGGAGAAATTTTCTGACAGTGAGAACAATCAACCAATGGAATGACCTGCCTTCAGAAGTTGTGGGACCTTCATCACTGGAGGCTTTCAAGAAGAGACTGGACTGCCACCTGTCAGAAATAGTGCAGGGTCTCCTGCTTGGGTGGGGGGGTGGACTAGATGACCTACAATGTCCCTTCCAATTCTTTTAATCTGCTAATCTGATATGGGTTTAGCAACCCTTGCAGTTCCACAGAACAGAAATGGTGACTGGACACATATCAACCATTAGTGTAATTACATTAAGTGGCTTGACTGTGTTCTTTGCACCTCCTTCTGCTGTGATAGCAAAAACAAAGGATTCACTGACTGAGCTTGTTCCAGATATTGCCTCATTTCTGAGTTTCTGCTTCTTGAATAATTGTCACTCACAGAGATTGTGTGTTCCCAGATGCTGTATATTGACTAGCTGGAGAACAAAGCTAAAGCTTAAACATGGCAGGGACTCATATGCATTCCCAGCTTCTGATGCAAATCAGAAATCGTCCTCTATTTGTTTTGGAAATTAAACTCCTGTCCCTGGCTAGCCAGTAGAACAAAAGGTTGTGTTAAGCTGAAAAGAGAGCCAAAATCTCAGGACAGAAGTTCTTCTCTGGAGACATTCATCTCAGCAAGCGGTTGCTATTAGAGATTGCATGGAGAGCACTTGACTATAAAGTGGCCAAGAATAGGGCACAATTGAGCAGGTTGATATCATTTCTGGCTTGATGCCAAATCACTGTTACTGGATGATTCAATTCACCCTGATTAAGCTTCCCAGCGTCAACAGAAATGGGAAGTAGATCTCCAGCAGCTTCCATCCACTTTAAGGGAGATGTCCAACTGTGTTACATTGTCATGGTTGACCACCAGTAACAGAAACAGCCCAGTTGCTTGCTCTTACTGGAAATATTAGAAGAGAAGAATCTCATGGTCTATCTTTCTCAGATTCAGTAAGAGCTCTGAAAAAGGTCTTTTCAAGCTCCATTTAAAGCAAGCACACTTTCTCTAATGTTTGTCCAGCTAGCAGCAAGTTTTCCCTCCATTTTTTCATCTAAGTCATTAATAAAGGTCTAGAGTAGGGACGTGGTGGCCTAGTGGTTCAGACACTGGGCTTGTCGACTGGAAGGGTGGCCGTTTGAAGCCCAAGCACCACTTTATAACTTGAGTTCCTGTCCTTGCCCCAGCTCCTGCCAACCTAGCAGTTTGAAAGCATGCAACTGCAAGTAGATAAATAGATACCACTTTAGTGGGAAAGTAATAGCGTTCCATGTGCCTCAGTGTGTAGCAGTAGTGGGATTCAAATCCCGTCACTACCGGTTCGCTCGTGGGCACGCACACATGTTTGCTTGACGCTTCTGCGCATGCGCAGAGATGTCCGGGTGGGTGGGTGGAGCCTCCCACTGCCACTATCAGTTCGCCCGATCTGGAGCGAACTGGTAGCAACCCACCACTAGTGTGTAGTTATGCCAACCACATGACCACAGATGCATCTTCGGACAACATTGGCTCTCTTGCCTAGGAAATGAAGATAAGCACTGACCCCTAAAGTCAGACATAATTGGACAGGGGAAACATTTATCTTTACCTTTTTTAGAAGAGTACAGGACCCTTGTGATGTCCCATCTGATTCCTGTCTCTATTTGAACACTGGATAAAGTCATTTAAAAGCAAACACACAGAGACATTTGGATAACCAGGAATAGTCTTGAAAGCCTAGGCAAGCCTTCCATTCTTATTAACACCTCTTTGCAGAGCGTGTCTTTTGAATGCTTTGTACAGCTTTACTCATCACAAGTTTCCAAATGAATACTGTTCGTAGCGGTTGGAAGAGACCTAGCAGGTCTAATCTCTTATTTTGTACACTAAATCTTGGGATGCAATCCTCGGTTAAAAAACTGAAATTAACAGTCCTTGTATTGGAGAAAGTTGCATACAAAAATACACAGAGAAGGGGAAAATGCATACAAGAGTTAGTGCAGCTTTAACTTGAAAATAAGCCAATGAATGGATTTAAGAATCAAATACTGTATTTATGAAACTGACCTGTATTATTATATTAGAATTGGGCAGGGTTCCAGATATAGTGTAAAATGTGATCCAGATTTGGCCATGTATAGTGCACTTCTGAGGAACATCTTAAATCAGACATTCCTTTTCCTAGATTGTACGGCAGACATGGAGGGCAGCTGCTGAGTTCCTGGGAAAACTGGGGTGGGTTGCTTACAAGGATCTCCTACCAGCCCCACTATGTGCTCACCCACATTCTGATTCATAGGTTACTGTTTGATTCCAAATATCTGTACAGTCTGGTAGGAAATGGGTGGGTTGGATAATCCTATTACAAGCCAAGTGCACTCAGAACATCTTTCCTGAAAATTGGAGTCAGGGAGTTTCCTGGTTATTTAAATAAACTGCTGTCTGTTTTAAAAGGTAGCAGTAGGTTTTGACATGCATATTGTTATATGTCTGCCATTCCATTTTTCAATGCAGAATTCCTCCACCCTCAAATTAGCCAGGAAACCTGAGCATCCCGTAATCTGATCCTTAGTTATGCAATACTGATTTTTATATATAGATATAAAATTTAGAAACCACCCATCACGCTCACAGAATAACTCTGTGTCATTTGATTGGCTCATACAGGACGACTGTTCTATAAAAGGAAGACCTTTAGCATCAAACTGCTATACATTATTAATTCTACCAAGCTTTCCCAATATGACTTTACGGTTTACACTTTCCTTGCAGGATATTCACTCCCTTTTTCCTTCGGGGATCTATAGGAAGGCTAATTTGCAATCTGATGGAGGCCTT